TGAAAATTATTATACTTTTTATTGTTCAAAACACGCACCATACACACACACACACACACACACACACACACACATATATATATATATATATATATATATATATATATATATATATATATATGAATTAAATTTTATGCAAGAACGTGGCCGAGTGATTAAAACTTTCGCTGTCTGAACATGATCGATTTGTCAGGAAGGTGACTTTTGATGTTATCTGCCATCGCTGCATATATATATATATATATATATATATATATATATATATATATATATATGTCAAGAGAGAGAGATAGGAGACTGAGACATATAACCCATATATATATATATATATATATATATATATATATGTATATATATATATATGTGTGTGTGTGTCAAGAGAGAGAAAGCGAGACTGAGACATACACACACAAAACATATAACCCATATATATATATATATATATATATATATATATATATATATATATATATATATATATATATATATTCATGTCTGCACATACGTGTGTATCAAAGTCATATTATATATCTGTATATTCTGATAAATATATATATATTTTCCACAAACATATAATATATTTATATATTGATATATATATATATATATATATATATATATATATTCATGTCTAAAATCAACCCGCATTAGCATCTTCTGACTAAAAAAATTTTTCCACAATTTCTTTTTAAAACTCACATTATTTTCTCACAAGAAAATGATTTTAAACTTATTTCTCATATATATATATATATATATATATATATATATATATATATATATATATATATATATATATATATATATGAATGCCTAGATGTGTGTAGGTGTATACATATATTAACGTATGTATTAAACAATATGTCGATATATACTTTGCCTATATTTCACCGTGGCCTGTTGATGTCTTTTATGCGCAGAACTGACAATATTGTCGGTTGTATCGTAAAGTGCCGCGTCAGACCAGATAGATCAGCGAGTGGCTTTTGAGTATTGATTTCCTTTTTTTTCGATTTTTTCCCATTTTCGTTGAAGTGTGGTAAGTAGAGAGATAGACACGAGAAATGTCTGTAGCCCCATTTTTACTTTAAATATCGTTAGTTCGTGTTTAGCAGCACCTGTCATTGTCACTCGCTCATAAGTAATGCCAGAATTATTTTGATGTTTCTATATACAGATGTAAAGATCTTTACACTCTCTTTCACTCTTTCCGAACCTATCTTCATTTTTTTAAAGACTTTTGTGCATTGTCTCCCTGGACAGCGAAGTCACAATCACTGTCTGATTTTCCTATCTAACCTGCGGTGATGAAAATTTCTCGGCCTGACTGTCATTTCAATATCGGACCAAATGACCAAACTAAAAATATTTTAGGAATAGAAACCATTTCGCATTCAGGTTCCAAATATTTTAGTACACTCATTTTTATTTCTATACAAATTTCTTTGAAGATCAACTAAAGAATTTTTATTTATTTTTTCTATGTTCTTTGTTTCCGGTAAATATTTACAAATTTACATATTCACAGGCACACATTTATTCATACATATCCTTATCAATTTATAATTTATTTTTTTTTTTTTTTTGTGCATAACCGTAGAGGTTTTTATTTTATTTGAGTAGAGAGTTTTATTTTCGTCTACCTGTCTGAATATTTCAGAAATCCTATTAAAGAATAATACGCCCTCCAACAAGATTCGACCCCACCCCACCATATGTGCGCGATGGGTAAATTTTCATCGGTTTTAAACTTTTAATTTCGCGTATGCGCGTTGTTTGTCGACTGCACCGTATTGTAGAGTCAGTAGGGTACATGAGACAAAAAGCACTATGACATAATTCACTCCGCTAGAAATTTGAAACCGGCATGATATACTGCTTGGCATTCGCACCGGAATTTCCAGTACGAACATTTCAGTGTGTTTCGCTGTCAGTCTGAGGATAGAAAAGAATTCGGAAAGAGTTGCATGAGTCTTATGTTGATTACGAAGGTATTTGAAGCGATCACTAGTAATGGCGACGTTATGTCTCCATCTTCCAACATGGCCTCAAACTTAACACGGAGGCCTACATCAGTTAGTACTGCCTTGGGTCAAGAGGGTGGCTGCTGTTTTGGGGAACAGAACTCTACAACATAATGCACAATCAGGAGAAACCAGTTATAGCTACCAGACAATTTCTGCAACCACAAGATCGATTACATCTTGTCACTTATCTCCCCATACTGCAACCCATTTGATTATTATGTATGTGCGCATTTGAGCGAGAGACGATCAAAACTCCTTGTAACACCAAAGATGAACTGAAGGCAAGGATGATGGCAGCATTCCACAACTTAAACAGAGAGACCATCCGGAAGAGATGCAGGTTGTTCCAAAGTTGCCTGGAGGCTGTGGTTGAAGTCAGTGGCGAATAAAATCGCCATTGGCTTCAATCACACATTTCAACCATAATTTTCCTCTTAAGTATTTGAAGATATTTTTGTGTAATTTTGGTAAATATATCTTTTAAAATGAGAGTTTTCATTTATGCCTGATTTAGACCTAAATTTACCCATCGCACCCTGTATGTGTGTATGTATGTGTGTGTACATACACACACACATACATGTGTGTGCCTGTGAGTGTAGTCAGTCTGACGGCAAGAAAAATTGTCTGAAACCTTGAGAAATAGATTTAGAAAATAATATCTTTTATATAGGACATCCGTTGGTTTTTAATCAATCAGTTTAAATTAGAGAGTATTACCCAAATACACTTAATGTGCTAGAGTCTTCAATCAGTATAGCCAACAAATTTCGCTTTTTGTGACTTACGTGTGTTTGTCGATGATTTTTGTTACCAGCTTAAAACACACATAGCATTCCACATACTGGGCAAACAAAAGCAACGCAGTTGAAATCTGCAGAAATGTGATGTCGGGGTTTTATGTAATGCCTTGTAATAAAAAAAAAATGTTCAAAAATTGTTGAACATTTCATAACAAGTTGGCACGATTTAAACTCCGTCTCCCAAATCACGACTGAAGAATGCTGATGGAATTTAAATTCTGTTTCACCTCTACAGAGCCCTTTTCCCCTTCCCTGAATCTTATTCTTCTTCTTGTCTAGTCTCTTCATGTCTTGAGCGATCATGGCGCTCCACAACTTTCCTCAAATTCTCAGCTTTATATTTTCCTTCCCATAGCGTTTTCTACCATCAATTTAAACAGTTTCATTGGATGTTTTATTCGCTATTTCAATCTGAATGCTTTAATTTCTGTCTTGATTCCTCTTCTTTTATTATTTTTTCTCAGGAATACACACACACACACACACACACACATATATATATATATATATATATATATATATATATATATATATATATATATATGGGTGTGTGCGTATGAATGTATATTAATGTAGGGTTAATACAAATATAAAAATTTGTCTCTTTAGCTGATTGATGTTACATTCAGCATCCCTGATTCTACATCATTTTAGCCAAACCCTCCGGCAATGACTCAGTCCACTCCCTCAGGGAATATCAGCAATATATATATATATATATATATATGTATATCTATATATATATCTATCTATCTATCTATCTATATATATATATATATATATATATATATAGTGTAACTCGGTTATAAGAGACCCGGATATAAGAGAAACCCAGATATAAGAGAGATTTTCTCTGGTCCCGAAATAGAGCATGTGTTAATGCATATAAATTGACCAAACCTGGATATAAGAGAAACCCAGATATAAGAGACTTATTCTCCGGTCCCGTCAACTCTCTTATATTCGGGTTACACTGGTGTAATGTTTTTTTTAATCCGATATACGTTTATCATTTCAAACCTAATTGTTTGTAGATACCCGTATTTAAATAGACGGTCCGTATTTTTTTTAAGCAGTGTTTATTTCAACTGCCGGCCTACGCAATCGAGAAAAACTTAATAAAGTCTATGTGCCGATCATGTTCCTAAATCCATTCGTCAGATGGAGACTTTTTTGCATGACACCATATCCGTTCAGAATTATCTAAATCCTCAGCTGCATACATTCGATCAATGGTAAGAAAAGGTTTTGTGCGAGTGAAGCCTGAGGGTTTGGGGAAAATATTATTCATCTTTGAACAGTGCAGAATTGCGCTGAGTAAACACAAACAATAAACTTAAATAAATGAATAACAGTAACCACATCACTTGAGAACTACCAACAACAGAAACAACTAAAATGGATAGCACATAATAAAGATGTTATTTTACAATACTTCATATAAAAGTTTAGGAAGGAAATTCACCATCAGTACTTGAAAGAGCTATAATATCTATTTGGATTTGAAAAATCTATTTTCCAGAGAAAAATATTTATGAGAAAGATTTCACATACTTCAACTGAAAGTAGAATCGACTGCCCGGTCGATGAATGCGACATGTTTCCTTGTAGTGGAACGGTTAATATTGTCATTACCATTCTAATCGCTATGTTATTAAGTTAGATTTCCTTGCTTCATAATCTTGTAAAAGACCGTTATATTCCTAAAGAAATGTGATATCATATTCCTTCCCCGTGTGTGGAGATATGAAATGATCTGAACAACAGTAACATTAAAACCTGCAAATACATTAAATATACATCGAATTAAGACAAATAATAAATCTATAGCCGAATAATGAACAACATAGCATTTATTTTAAAGAGGAAAATATTTCCACCGAATAATTCATAAACAAATGCCATGGTTGTTTGCTTCATTCGTTTTCTACGGCATATCAACACTTTTCAGGTTATTTGAAGCCGGGAAATATCTTTTAGATTCTAAGAATTTTTTAGATAACAATGCTTTAATTATACAATTTATACTAATTAAACCTATAGCTGGGAGGAGGAGAGGTGGATTCATACCCTTCCCAAGAGTGTTTGTGCGTAATTTAATATAACAAAGACAAATTAAATTGGAACTAAGTTCCGTGCCATTATCTCTTACACCAACCACACAACAAAGCTTACAGTAGCTGGTATTCCCAAGCGGTCACCCATCTAGGCACTGGCCAGGCACAACGTTGATTATTCTCGGTGTTCGTACGGAAACCGGTGCTTTAACGCTATATGACTATATCAGGTTATAGATATACTGATGCACTCAGAACACACAACACTCACGCGCACAGAAATATATATATATATATATATATATATATATATATATATATATATATATAAACTTATAAAAAAAATAATTTTTCATCTTTAAAAGTTCATTTAAAATCTTAAAGATTGCGTTTCTTTTGAAGTACCTGTAAATATATATATATATATATATATATATATATATATATATATATATATATATATATATATATATATATTGTGTATGCTCCTGTGTGTGATTCTATGTTAAAAACTTATTTGTCTATTCTTTCTGAATTTAAGCAAATCCAAACTTGCCTATGACATCTGGTTTCCAAACGAATAATGCAGAACTCGAAATGAATTCTAATTTATTTCGAGTGGCAGTTATATTGCCTTATTATATAGATGTCTTTGATTATGAATGGCCATGTTTCCTGCAGAAGAATATTCCAAATTCTTGAAATTTGACTATATTTGATGCGGCCAATATGTTTGTCGATACATTTATCATTCTCTGTACGCAAATCATGTACGTAATCTTAAACAAGTTACATATTTCATCAAGCATCACGCAAAAAATCCACACACACACACACATATATATATATATATATATATATATATATATATATATATATATATATATATATGAATATTGTGATCGCATACTTTCATTCAAACAACTTTCATTGATAATAGAGTCATATTGCGTCTACGTATTTGTATACTGATCTTTTCCAGTTGTCTAATCAGTTTCTTGCTGTTAAGATGAAATTCAACAAGGAAGGTGCTGACGTGTTTTTGTAACTCAAGTACTTTCGATCTTTTCTAAGATCATCTTCAGGGGTAAATGACAAATATATATATATATATATATATATATATATATATATATATATATATATATATATATATAGAACAATAAAAATATTAAAATTTCAAATCTTCAGACACACTGGGTTGTATATTGATATTCTTTCGTTTTTATTATTATTTCATTTAGATTCCTCGACTAGTTTCGGCCAACATGGCCATCATCAGAAGAAAAATAATTTTCTGCTTGCTGGTAGCAGTGAACTACAGAAACGAATGTCTTGATGGATAAAAGAAATTTTTGTCTGTCGTTTTCATTTGTTTTTTATTTTTTAAATTTTGTTTAATCTTTGTGTTGGTCAAACAGTCTCGTTTAAGTTGTTTTTTGAGATAAGAGCTGGCTGTATTCATGCTGCTCTGAATTCCCTTGGTCATTTTGACAGTTTCATTGGTTCCTTGGAATCTCTGTTAAGTATGTGTGTGTTATTTGGTTCTTAGCGAGTGAGTGAGTATGATGTGTGTAAGCGTGTATATCAGTATGGGTATATATATATATATATATATATATATATATATATATATATGTTTAGCAATCTTTCCTTTCAACAAGTTAATTATGTGGTTTGTAACTATTTCTTTCAACTTAATGTTTGTTGTTTTTGTTCGTTTGGCAACTGACTGAATTTATAAAATGTCCCATAGTTTTCCCAAGTGCTTCTGAATTTGCTACTAGGTGAATGCTCCCGATACAAAAAACAAAACAAAAAAAAAACACTATGTTCAATTTCTAAACATACAAAATAAATTTTGCAAGGAATCAAGAAAATTGAATCAAAATATTGCAAAATTATTGCTTCTTCGTCATTTTAAACAAACACACGCGCGCACCTGAACACACACACACATAATTGCTGTGTTTATTAATGCATGTTTGTATATATGTAGATCGTATCTCGGGATCTCTATTTAACAATAAATGACTCTTCTTCCTACTGTTATGTATTGAATCCATCAAATTTTACGGTCAAATCACGCTAGCTTACGGTCAAATCACGCTGAAACACCGGTTCTCGTTCGATCACCGAAGTTAAGCATCGTAGAGCCAGGTCAGTACTTAGATGGGGACCGCTTTGGGAACACCTGGTACTGTAAGCCCCAAAGTCCAACCCTACCTCACAGTCGGTGGGTGGGTGTAAACGGTAGTGTCAGAGCTATGCCGCCCGGAACTTCGTTCCTGGTAGGGCCACCCAAGGCGGACAGGTCTGACACACACGCCGGCTAACAAGGGCTCTGGTGAAAATCCAAGGAGCGTCTGCATCGGTAACTGGCGGCTTCTGGTCGTTCCTGTCTCTGCGTCTGTGGGAACCCCGCGGCAAGCAAGAACGTTATTCGAGTAGGCCTGGGTACCCTACTTCTGTAATTTATCCCAAGAATCTTCTTCTCATAACAGGAAGAAGCCGGCTCAATCCGCCCAGGGTGAATGCCGCATCAGTACAGTACAGTACAGTAATCCATCAAATGCTGGTATTACTGTTTTATATGCATCGTCTCCTATTCTATACCTATCACATTCATTCATGCATTGCCGATGATTATTCGTATGAAAAAATAATTTAATCCAAGTTCATTGCGCCTAACGAATGTATTCTTAATTTTAATTGTAAATTTTGCTCATAATCTCTTATTAAATTAATATAACTTCATTAGTTAACATTTTTATTAATTTTCATGTATGTAATATTGATAATATCTTTTTTATTCATTCCGCCAATCAAGGATTGCTTACGGTCATATCACGTTGAAAGAGCGATTCTCATCCGATCACGTTGAAACCCCAGTTCTCGTCCAATCACCGAAGTTAAGCCTGGTCAGTAGATAGATGGTTGAACGTTTTAGGATATCAGCTGCTCTAAGCTTACATATACTGTTGCTGTGATGAATAGCAGCTTGGTACAAGACATCGGAAAGCCGAGTTCGTTACATTTACTTACGTGCGAGTAACCTTGGAGAAACTATGAATCTATCTTCTTCTTCATTTATAGATAGCCCGGCAGACTGTGTCCTATAGGCTTGGTTGGCTACCAGTCGAGAGGAGAAAGTACTAAAATGCTACTGAGAGAATTCTTTTGCCAAGTCAATCATGAAAAGCGACATGATCACCCAAACACGCATCACTCATAAGGAAGGGAAGACTCAATTGTTAATTGTTTACTGTTGTTATAAGTTACATTTATTAAATATTAAAAAATATTATTGAAAACAAATGATGAATATATTGCTATTATGAATTTAGCGTAAATTGCGGTAAAAGAAAACCTCCCCGGTTTTTTTTAACAAAAATTGAGGCTTATCATTCTTTAAACTTCAATTCAAAACGAACGATTTGCTAAAATATTTGTTATATAGCCTTTTGCCTTTGTTTTTTCATTCATTTGCCCCAATGTTCGTAAATTTGTTTTTGATACACTATATATATATATATATATATAATATATATATATATATATATATATATATAAATATAAAATGGATTGATAAAATCATGTCAGTTTTCCGCAGATGCAATTATTTCCGCTCAATTTTTCCTTACAGCCCACAGAACAAATAATAAACCAAACTCTAACACCATCAAAACAATTTTTCGGCAGGAAATTGTTTAATGCTTATATGGATGATAATATAAAAATTATCCATGTTTTTTTTAAGTTTACAAAAGGCGATTATCTCCCTTTGGTGGAGATAAGTCACAATGGTCAAGTGACAACTGCTTAATTACGTCACTCCATACAGTAACGAAAGCGGAAACAAAATTCAATTTGTTTTCAGTAACTAAACCGTAAGATTGCCTTTTTGAGTCAGCAACCTCCCCACCACGCTGGTTCGGGCAAAGGTTAAATCTGCCTCCCCAGCAGCTTACTGACCCGTAGCCGTTTCCCTTTGGGAGTACATCTTTCCCAGATATCGAAAGAAACTCAAGCTCCCAGTCCTCAGTTTGAGAAAACCCTAGACTCGTTTTAGCATGTTTGTGGAATGTTCTCGCCTGGGACATTGATGAATCGAATCCGTTTGATTATGGATTCCTAAACATGGCTTCCCCAGAAACAGTAGTGTCTCCATATTATATGTAAGACCATTCGTTTTTTTTGTCTCCTTATACTCTGGTATGTAAATATATTTGTCTCTGCTTATATATATATATATATATATATATATATATATATATATATATATATATATATATATATTGTGTATGCCATAGTAGCCTAAAGTCTATCTGAGAACAAAGGCTCGTCATTCCTTTTCCTCTTCAGCCATTTTATTCCGTCCTTGAACAACGATGTTATTTTATCGCGGATATATTAATGCCCATACAGGGGTTAAATGGAGAGAATAAACTTTTCTTCGATAGTAACCTGTCTTTTTAAATGTTTAATCTAGAATATCTAACCAAGTTGTCGGATAGCAATTACGATCACTAGCAAATTATTTACGCGGTCTTGTGGTGAAAAGCTTATTCTTCACTCAGCAACCTGTTTATTATTGTAACACCGTTTAATGCCTTCGCTAATCTATATATGTGGCAAATGTTCCAATAATCTCCATGCTTAACTCCACTAATTCAGACCTTTCCAACCAAGAAAGGCCATACTACTTCCAGTGAATTGAATCGCATTAACTCTGTATTCCAAATGTGGGGAGGACATACCGCGTAGGCAAGAACCATTAGAAAATTCTAAGGTTTATGCATTCCTTGAACACATTAATCTTGATATTTTCAAGTGAAGTGTCAATCTTTATTTATTCTCACTATCCTCATTATGCTACCACATCTTTTGACACACGTCATTCGTCATAACCATAAGATTCTATCTGGAGGGTCGATCGAATATTTTATTAGGTGAATTTTAGTACAAAATCTATTAGATGTAATTTAGTGTAAAAACTATTAGATTAACTTTAGCATAAAAACATTAAAAAATACTTTAAATTACTTCAAAATGTCTTCACTTTATATTTATGGATAACATCTGATAAATATACTGAAATTCTATGTTCTTGAATACTGCGATATATATATTTTTAATGCAAGTCGACCTATTCACAGATTACAAGTCAATTCTTAATTACGCATAATTGTAATTTATTCATTAGGTGTTGTCG